AAATCTTATGAAGGAGTTTTCAGTAGGTACGTAGAGTGTGTACTCTAGGTACTGGAAAAATAAAGCTAGAGACCAGTCACTGCATTTTCTAATGTGTAGTGACTAACATTGATATTATTATAACAATTTTTAAATAAATATTAAACGTGACTTGATATTAATGTACAATTTTACCCTAGGCCACTTACACATTGAATTCTTTACCTGTTTCGTCCCAAATTTGAACTCTTTCTCTACAAAATGTGGGTCCCAAACAGTTCTCAATACACCAAAATCAATTTTGATCATTAACCACGTGAAGGGATTTTGAATTAATATCAGCTTGGGGACACGCTTCTTGTCAGGCTTATCTCTTTTACGAAAAAAGAATGTTCTCTGATTGAGTGTATTGAAAAAATCAAATTGACTCAATAATTTTACGTCGAATTTGGTTCGTTGTGGTTCAAGTTGCTTAAATCTGTCTGTATTAAATGCTTTCTGTTGAGAAAAACTGCGAATGAAACTGCTGTGGGTTGGCGTAAACATACAACATTTCATGGGTTCAAAACATTGTTTTTTACGTAGCAAGTTATTATTGAACGCTACGCGTTTGGCGTGAAAGCCTAAGAGTCTTGCTAATGTTTGCGAAGCTAGTGCCATCTGCAAGTATAAAAGTAGAAAAATATGCGTTAGTATTGACTATTGGCAAATATAGTTGGCAGTAATACCTATATGTATAGCAGTGGCGAGGTGTCCATATATAACTCGATTTTCACCGGCTTGCCTAAAATTTTCAACGTATTATCAAATACTACATTTTGTGCAAAATTTTATATGTTCAATAAGTTAACTAGCGGAATGAAATAAAAGTAGTACTTTGTGTGTTAATAAGTCGCAAGTGTCGCCAAGACACAACTTTATCTTAAGTTTGGTGTTTTTTGTTTTGCTCCGGCTTTACTAACGACAATTTTCACGCCTCGCCGCTGATATATAGGTGGGTATAAACCTATGTCCTGCTAAGTGCCTTACCTATTTCAGCCGCCAAGCAGTAGTGTGAGCATTACTGCGTTCCGTTTTCAAAGGGTGAGAGTGCTGGTGAAATTACAGGCACAAGGGACTTGTCAACTCATGTCTCAGAGTGACGGGCACAGTGGCAATGTCCCTAAGATCTTTTCGATTAAAAGCTCTGTGTGGCACTGCAACTCTTATGGATAGGCGTGTCGCTTACCAGCAGCCGCACGACTTGTTCATCCCGTCATTTGGTATTATAAAAAAAAAATACCTATGCTAAAAGCTAGCAATACGGGCCAAGAGCACTATAAAAATATAATTAAATTCAAATCTTTGTTTTTTGTCTTTGCTTGTGTCCTACATAATCAGTCCACTATACGACAGATGCTTTAAGTTCAGTTCCATTTCAAATTCACACTTTTAGCAGGCGAGTCGTCAAATCTGTTGGATTTAGGCGCCGCGCAAACGCGTGTCTTGTGTATAGATACAATCAACTGGCAAATTAGAAACAAACATTCTGTTTTCAAACAAGATTCAAAGAATCGCTTTTTGCAGCACTGGGTGTAACCACACCGCAAAGATGAACACAATAACCTAATCGAAATTAAGTAATGTTTCCCTGGAACGTACCGTTATAATCATCCCAAGGCTTCTCCAAGCATCTATCTACATTCCTTCAATGCTTTACCGTTCCACTACAAGGATAATGCAGGCGTGGGCGAGGCAAAATCAAACTCTTCTAGTTTGTATGGAATCTCGTTAACATATTCACAATAAACTAATGTTGGCGTCATATGAATGTAGCCCGCCAAAGTAAGCGCTCATGGTTCCACTTTCAATGGAATGGGACCAAGTAGTCTCACTTGATCATTGTTTGATCAAATAATTTAAAAAAGGACGCACTTACCATGTACCCATTGCTATTCGCAGTATCCCTAATTAGAAAGATTTATAAATATAAATTACTTAAAATTTTATACATTTTTGTTTACCACTAAAACAGTATTTTAGTAGTTTTCAGGCCGAAATAAATTCATGTTTGACACTTTGACAAGGTCACGCTTAAATCGAATTTTGTTTGTAGTTACTTTTTAAAGTTTTATACCCTCTAAGCAGTATGTTGTAAAAAGGATAATTTCGAATTGGTTTTGGATATTGAGCTTAAACCAAAAATCCTAGACGACTTATTAAGAATGGTTACACACCCGGCGACTTGTGGCAGCTATGGAATCATTATGGAATCGCCTATAAATCCCAAGTCGCGCGTTTTTATAGATGCAGTCACGCGCTTGCATCGCGTTTGCATCGATGCTAAAAGTAGTCGGGTGTAACCGCTCTAAATGCTTTTCGTTTGTTACATGAATTAGCACAGGATAAAATATGATTAGGTTCAAGAGCTTTCTGTAAGTACTGGGTTCAAAACATAGAAATAAAGTGGAAGTAAAATAGTTTATATTTTTAAGACGTGGAATGGTAGGTATAACAGAAACAATCAATCCATATGGTAGAATCTGGGGCTAAGGTACTGCGGCGGTTTGTTGATGGAGAGTGGCGTCGAAGCCGCCATGATGTAAGATGGTATTCGTCGCTTGTCAGAGAACGGACTAACGCGGGAATAGTAGCGCCGCTCTATCACCTGAAATATTAAATAATCTCAGTACAGAAGACTAAAAACCGATCTCAAAAATTTGTGACATTACACCTAATTGCAAAGTTTTATTGAAATCGGTTACCGGAAAGTGCGCGAAACCGGATTCATCCCCTAGTTTGCCACCCTTAGAGGTGGAATATTTTCTTCAAATTTAAAAAGAACCACTACTGAGGTACTCTCTTTCCGACAAAAAAGAAGAATCATCAAAATCGGTTCACAAAATGTGGTTAGCCGGAGTTATTGTGTAACATACATACAAAAAAATACAGTCGAATTGAGCACCTCCTTTTTTAAGGTCAGTTAAAAAGAGACTCACTGGATATGACGGCATTGGAATGAATGGATTTTGAGCATTTTTTCTTCTCTTTATCTAAATTTCAAATAACACCCATAGAAAAAATAATACCTCCATCTGAAATCTCAGAATTATTGTATAACTTTTTGTTCTATTTTTTTCACGTGCAACTGTAGAAATTACTTTACTACGATAGTAAGTAAAAATATTTGTGCTTTCTCTTTATTCATTCCAGGATTTTAGACGGAGGTATTATTCACTCTATGTGTATATTACTCTGTATATACTGTAACATTGAAGAATAATATTGTTTTTATGTTTGTATGTTACTGTCAGTTATGTGGATCATACTGAATATGAAACAACACTTAGGTACCTTGTCGAAGAATCTGGTTAGTTTCACTGAATTACCGGTGCCTGGTGCAAGAGATCTGAAACAACATATCAGAACTAGATTATAGAGTTAAGCGTACCTACATCCTCTAACTGAAAACTGTAATACGTACAGGACTATGTACACTCTAATATAAATGTTACTGTATTCATGGTTTAGTTCTAAATCAACCAGAATCACATCCCGCAAAATAAAAATTTCAAATAGTCTCACTAGAGACTCTATGGTGGACAACCTTTGCCTACCCAAATAAATGGATAAAAACTTATAAAAAAAATGTATGCCAGGACTAAGTAAACCAAAAAAATATAAAATTTATACATAACCATTTTATAACATAAAATTTATTGAAAATGAAACTTTTTGGGATCTAAATCGCGTATATTTGTATTTTCAAACTAACATTTCAGGTCCATGGTCACGTTAAATTTTATTATCAAAATCATCTTGTCGGCCAAAAGTAATCTACTTCGACATACGCCTAAATTGAGTTTGCTATTTGAAAATATTTTGTGCCATGGTATTCTGGAAACTTTGCGCATTGACGCAAATTTTCACCATTTCCATTTATCCACTATATTTCCATGGTATTTTATTATTAGGAAAAATACCTATACCTATTATATAGGTAGTTTTCTTCACTATCTACCTGAAATGGAACTCCCGATTCGATAAGACTGGTTATTTTGTTTCAATATAGACAGTCGCTTCAATTTACATAACGCCATACAAAAACTTTATTAGTAGAAGGTAAGTCCAAGTAATAAATAGGCAATGGTCACAAAATACTGGTATAAAAACATTTTTTTTGGTGTCACCTGCTGTATGTTATTTATATATATACATATATATACATAAGGCTGTTCGAAAGTTGCTTGGAGAAAATTAGTTTTAGTAATAAAGACATCTGTTGAACATTTAGTAACAGTAGAGCTCCTTGTGAAAGAGTTCGTCGAGGGAAATACTGTCACCTTACCTATTTCTGCCGCCAAGCCGTAATGTGAGCATTACTGAGTTTCGGTTTTGAAGGGTATAATTATAGGCACATGGGAACAGTGTCAGCGTGACGGGCGCAGTGGCAGTGCCCCTCCGGTCTTTGCGGTTTAAACCTTTGAGTGGCACTGCAACTGTTATGAACAGACGTGTCGCTTACCACCAGGCCTAGCACTTGTTCGTCCCGTCCCCTGATATTAAAAAAACCGCTTATACTGATATACTTACATTACTGTTACTCGTCACCCTGAGACGTAAGTTGAAAGTCCCAAGTGCCAGTAATTTCACCAGCACCCTTACCCTTCAAAACCGGAACGCAGTAATGGTCACATTACTGCTTGGCGGCTGAAATACGTAAGGTGGCAGTACTTCCCTGGACGAACTCTTTCACAAGGAGCTCTACCGCAACTAAATGTAGACATTGTGTTGTTCAGTCGGACAATTCAGATTTACCGGGCTTGATGGCAGTTAACGAAAATCTCATCAGCGCCACATTGCTCTGCAATGCTACTAGCCAGACGTCTATACTGATTTTTCCTTTGCTTCTCCTCGGCTAAGTCATATTTAGTGCCAATTACGAGGATCGGAATCTGAAATATCGTCAATAAAGTTAAAAAAGTTAAGTTTTTCGGTAGGCTGCTAGAGAATTATTATTAATAAATTGAGCCTAAAGTTCATCTTTTAATCCATTAACACCCAAATACAATTTATTTAAAAAAACTAATTTTTTTATGAGCCTTTACAAAATACTTGTAAGAAAATGATTAATAAAATTTTATTTTATTTTATATGAAAAACAGTGCGGTCCTCAAATGGGGACACTGGGCTCAAGCAGTATGAAAAAATTTGTAGCAATATTTGTCGGTGCACAATAATAATAATAATAATAATAATAAGACATTTATTTCGGACTTGGCTCCATAGTGTTAGTAACAATGTAACTTAAAATTAGTGTTAGTAACAATTGAATTTACTTCTAAACTTTTTGCAAATGTAACTAACAATGACTTCAGGCACTTTTTATATTGCCAACGCGCTTAATTGTGGCTCAACAGCTACTGCACGTCGGTGCTGTTGAGCCAACTTCTGAGCGTAGTGACCAACACTAATGTACTGTAGATTTAGCACCAAAGAAACTGCTGAACGTTTATATTTATAACTTTCGAGTGTTTATGTCTGAAATTGTAACGAGGGATGTAAGCGTGAAACGGTAGCTACTCTAGCTTCGTGTCATTGGTCAGGAGGTGTAATCGCCGTGTATTAGCTACTTTTTACAAATGTTGTCTCGAACGACAGTGCGATACAAAAATATTGATCACTTGATCTATCCGGCTGGTAAGTTTGAAATACACGCGAGACACCCACGTCAACTTCCTATTTATTCACAGCGCTTCATCTCTTTATTTTCTCTAATGTCGTAAGTAGAGACCATCGTGCAAACACTATTGTCAAACCTTTGAACGAATAGTATTAGGTTCACTGAATAAAATCGATAGTCAAAATCATACAGTACATAGGTACAGTTCTTCTTCATTCTAAATCTATCTCCACATCATGGTCTTTCTCATCCATTACAGCTTCAGTGGCTTTCTGAAGCCTATAGCCATAATTGTGGATGCCGAATAACCGTTGTGTCATCATTTACTTGAAAATAACTTATAAATGAAAAACTAATAAATTACCTCCTATGCGCCCAATGGCCCCAATTGTGGACACCGTTATAATACCATCGTCTGAAGTTGCGAAAAACACTATTTTTCTCAATTATGTAATATATGTTTTATAGTATACAAATATATTTCAACAATTTATGTCACGAAATAAATAAATTGTTTGTAATATACGGAATATATACGGAAAAAACAAGTAACTTTAGCGTTTCACGTGTGCGTAAATTAATCCCGCAAAAGGAACAGTAAAAACACGTATTTTACGTCACATATATACACTTTTGCAATGATTAATAGTAATGTAAAAAATTACGGAAAGACTGTCCTCGATTGAGCACAGCGCTAATGGGTTAACTTTCGCAAAATTACAAGGAATTTTATTGATTCTAATGGAGATATAAATGTCAATGAAGGTGTTCATGTTATGGACTCTTGTGTTGCACATGAAGCACATTTTTTTAACAAAATTTAACAAACGCATGCGTTTGTTAAATTATTCACACAGTATGTAACACTTATTCCTACAATAAAAAATAGAGGTAATACGGTACTTTTGCCTGTGAATTGGATTGGTATTTACATTTACAAGACACCTCCTCAGGGTGAAAGACAAGATTGAATAGAATAAGGTAAAATACCAGTAAAATCTCTACATAGCAATGTTCATACTCTACAATAAGGTACCATACATACCTGTACTTGATAAATGCAAATACAATGAAGGATGGATTGGTTGATGATGTAGAGACCAACATAAAGAGGGGGATACTTCGATGGTTTTGGTCATGTATGATGGTAGATTGATGGCACAAATTTACAGAGCGAATGTGGGTGGAGGCGTGGGGTGGTAGAGCTCATCGTACATATATCGTAGGAATGTCTTTCAAAGGTCAAAAGTACCAAAAATATACCAACATTATGAAGACTGTTGGGAGTGAAGGCGGCCAAAATTTGTCAGGAGCGTAGCAAGTGGAGGTCCATGGTCTCTGCCTACCCCGGCGGGAGACGAGCGTGATGATGTGTATGTATAGGTATATGTATATACGCAAACACGAACCTGCGTCGAGCCTAAGAACTGTTCCGGATCCACGTCAACATTCTGCAATGTAGGGTTGGAACTGTCTTGATTCAAAATCTCTAACAGCCATTTTTGTAAATTCAATTGACTTTTTCTGTTTGTTAGATCATGCACCAATATAATACCTGGAAACGGGAATACCTAACATGTATATATTATCAGTATTACTTTAAATTGGTTCCCCGAACTTTAAAGAATTAAGTTAAACACTTATAAAAATAAAACACAGCTGACTTATAAAAATAATGCAATAGATTATATAGTAATTCAAAAAAATTTAAATTAAGTATATAAATTTCTTACCATGTGTCGGTTGATAAAATACATTTCTAGTGTTTCTATGACCATTTGATCCACCGACATCCCAGAGCTCCACAAAAAATGTATTTTGTGCTTGAGTTCCCTCCTTGTATTTGTGCAACTTCACTTCTACAGAGCACCCAATCGTCCATCCCGGCGACAGAAGAGGTTTACTTTGAGCTATTAAATAAGTTAGAGAAGTTTTACCTACTCCTGAGAACAAAATTAAAAAAAATATGTTAGGAATTGTAATTTAATTGTAATTTTAATTTCTTGAAACTTGGCGCCAAAATAAATTTACAAAAATTATGTTGGCTACTCTACAAGTGTCATGGCGATGTACATGTTAACAAATAACGAGTCGGGTAAAAAGTTTAATGCTGACAAAAAGTATTTATTAAAGTACAAAGTGCATACAGTGTTACGTGAATGAAATTGGATTTTTATATACCAGAATCACCAAGGACGACGACTTTGACTTTCTCTATTGCCGCCATTCACAGGTAAAAATACAGAATACAGTTTCTTGCAATTTTTGACGTTTCTGTTTATACAGTCACAGAGTAAATAAACGTAATCCCACAGGTTTACCAACACAATTTTTTTTTTTTTTTTTTGAGAAGTATCGAGGGATTCTATCGGGATTTAGTACACATGAAATAAACATTTGAACGAAATTCGTGATAATGTGGCATTCCATCGTTTTAAATCACAGAGCATTTTGCTTAAAGTAAACATAGCCTTATGATACACACATTTTAATGTCACCAAACAACATCTTTAAGTAAAGAAAACGTAAGAATCGCAAATTGCAAGATGTTAAGGAACATATAGGAAGTGACGTAACTCAATCGTTGCGTTTCGTTCAGAAATTATCTCCATACTCTTTCTATTGTCTGTCTGTTCGTTTCGTTTCGCTGTTTGCTTGCTAAGTACTGTGAACTCTCGCAAAGTAAAATCAATAATAAATAATGCGACCGCCATTGTACAATCAGTATTGTCTGCTACCAAAACATATTTAGTTTAAGAAAATGTAACGATCGTGTATTATGAACAATAATACGTTGAAGTTTTTGTAAGTTAACAATGAGCATATTGCATTGCAAGGCATTTTTAGTGCTTTTTCTTATAAAATCCGTGCACTTGTACTGTGGGCCATACAATGGACAAATATGCAGGAAACATTCAACGGGGTACGTGTGGTACAATCACACAGGTGGACTAGATAATGAAAAAATCACCACAGGTCTCTGGAAAGACCTGATATCACCTCTCAAGGAACCATGCAGAAGTAGAGCAGAAAAATTACTTTGTGCATATGCTTTCCCCAAGTGCATCAATAAAGATGGAATTGGCCACTATCCCTTGCCCCTGTGTTATGAAGACTGTATGGCTGTTAAAATGCAATTTTGTTATAATGACTGGATTTTAATTGAAGAACAGAAAAGTCGTGGAGTTTTCTTTGCGTCTCGAGGTCACTTCCGATTTCCTGAATGCGAGAAACTACCTCGTTTTGCAGGAAAAGGTTCACAAGTAACCTGTAACAATGCTGGCATCACAGACATGGATTACAGCCAAGTAACAACAAATTGTTACAGGGGTAACGGCCGGTACTACCAAGGCACTGTAAATGTTACAGAAAGTGGCTTGGCCTGCCAGGCATGGGAAGAACAATTCCCACAAGAACATACAAGGCCACCATTAGTTTTTCCAGAAGTACAAAATTCTTCTAACTACTGTAGAAATGCAGGCGGAGAAGAGCGCAAACCTTGGTGTTACACTATGGATAGACATGTCAGATGGGAACACTGTAACATACCAGTATGTGCCAACTCTAGTGAGGAATTTGACAATATTGATGGACCAAACATAGTTATGGAAAATTATTTTACACCAACATTTGTATTATTACTTTCAATTGGTGGGCTAGGGTGTGTTTTGGTAATAGTTTCAATAGCTCTGTTGTGCCACTATTTCCTTAAAAACCATTACTCCAAATGCAACCTCTCAAGTCGGAGGAACTTACCCAATATGGATATTGATTTAGATAAACTGCCCAGTAATTTAGCATACCATACTACTGGAGCACAGTTGAATCCAAAATTAGAGAAGTTGGAATTCCCAAGAAATAACATTATTTATATCCGTGATTTAGGCCAAGGAGCATTTGGAAGAGTATTTCAAGCCAAAGCTCCAGGCTTAGTGCCTGAAGAAGAGTTCACCCTTGTGGCTGTAAAGATGCTCAAAGATGATGCATCCCATGACTTGCAATTAGACTTTGAAAGAGAAGCCTGTTTGTTGGCAGATTTTGACCATCCGAATATTGTAAAACTTCTGGGTGTCTGTGCCATTGGGCGACCTATGTGCTTATTATTTGAATTCATGGGAAAAGGAGATTTAAATGAGTATTTAAGAGCCTGCAGTACAGCAGCAAATTATCCTCCAGCAGTTGAAAACAGAGAAGATTTGAGACTTCTTGTAACTCCCCTCAACCATATGGACCTGCTGCATGTATCCAGACAGATTGCTTCTGGTATGGTTTACCTTTCAGACCGAAAATTTGTACATCGGGACCTAGCTACAAGAAATTGTTTAATTAATGATGACATGGTGGTAAAGATTGCAGACTTTGGACTTTCGCATAAAATTTACTTACAAGACTATTACAAAGGTGATGAGCATGATGCTATCCCTGTAAGATGGATGCCTTTAGAGAGTATACTGTACAATAAGTATACATTAGAGTCAGATGTTTGGGCATATGGCGTATGTCTATGGGAAATATTCTCATTTGCTTTACAACCATACTTTGGTATGACACATGAAGAAGTTGTCAGATTTTTAAAGGATGGAAATGTTCTCGCTTGTCCTGATAATACACCAAGATGTGTATATGATTTAATGAAACAGTGCTGGAATCATAATCCAAGTGATCGTCCAAACTTCAGAGTTATCTATCAAACATTGGATAATATTCAAGTCATACTTGAAAGGACTCATTCAGAATAAATTTACTGGCGGTTTCTATATGTTATTTGTAAGCATGAAAATGTTTTGTATATTCTAAACATTCTTGCCCTCCTTATATCTGTAAATAGTATTTAATCATATTTAGTTAATTGGTCAATAGTCATTTTGTAATTGATTCAAATGTATGTCAATTTTATGATAAGTACCAATTTATTTTCCCAGTTGATTAAGCTCAATTTTCTGTAACTATGCCAAAATACCATAAAATATGTTCCTTTAGTACATAATCTTTATGAATGTTGAAAATATCCATAACAGTTTTCTTAAAGAAAGTAAAATACCTGATTACTTACTAACCATGGCAAATCTGTCTTAATCATGGCAATACAATTTGGTTATCGTTTATTATTTTTCGATTATTTCCTATTTGCATAGAACCTCCTCCTCATAGAAACCATACATTGAATTTATATAATTACATACAAATTCAAAGTATGTGTCCCAAACATTTCAACTCATTTTTGATAGCTGTTTATTCGAATTAGCAAGTCTGATTTTCGTGTTTTGACTTTGTATAACTCATTTAAAATTGTACTTAATTATGTAGATATTTATTTAATTATTGCCAATGTTGCATGCACATAACTTTACTGATTTTAGTGTGTGAAAAATGTGTAAGTTTGACTTGTATGATATTGTAATTTTGCCAAATGAACGAATATTTAAAGATATGTATTTTTTGTAACATCAATGTAGTTTTAAATACTGTATGTGTTGTAATGAAATAATTTTTAAATACGTGTAATTTTCAAGACTGTACCGTTTAGTTCCATATATTACTATGTTTTAAGTTCATTACTGAAATTTAAAGTGGGAATTAAGTTGATTATATTATTAAACTTGTTTTTATCTATGTATTGTTTTACTTTAGCACTAAGTACGTAAGTAAGTACCATTGACTTCTTTCCTTGTGCCTTAGATAGTAATTTAAAACGCTTATTACATTACCCGATTTTAAAGGACTCTAACTTAGAGGCATGTAACAAGAATTAGGGAGTTATGGGTCCCTACTTCGGGCGACATAATATGTCAAAATATATTATATATTTTCAGTTAATAACAGCGGCATCGTCCACGCTCATAAACGTTCGTTTATTGACAATGCACCTCACCCCTCACAATACAATAGCGGTAGAGCGCGTTGTGTCGGGGGTAGACAAGATTTTTTTCTTGTACACAGTTCGTGTGTAGAAACGAACGTCCGAAACGTTGGTTTGTATGATTGATTAATAATGGAACCGTTACCTGTCAATGCAAGCTAAAGATACTATATCGATACTTTACAGTACAAACGCCACCAGTGCCTTTACCATGAGTTTACTGTGACAGTTCTCGCTAGCGAGAACGTAAACTTCTTGTGACCGCTAGCGACGACGCTGTATAATTTGCCATACAAAATTGTAAAGTAATTTACTGGGTCGCTAGCGACAACTGCCACAGTGAACTCGTGGTAGAGGCCCAGATATAGCCAAACTACAAAGTTTACTAGACGAGTGAAAGACAAAAAATTATAAATAAATAAAACATTGGGTAGACAGAATCGATAAAACATGAAAATATAACCCAACTACTAATAATTAACTGTCGATAAAGCTTTGCTTTTATGCCATTTCTTCCCCGAAGTATCAATATAGACCTACCAAGTAAAACAAAATAACGCACAAGGCACATAATATTGTTATTTCGGTAGATAAGAATCAACCATGACAGAGGAGCGACTCGTTACCGAAGTACCTAGCAGCCTGAAACAACTCGCTAGACTGGTCGTCCGAGGATTTTACACAATTGAAGATGCTCTCATTGTAGATATGCTGGTTAGGAACCCGTGTAAGTAATTTGTCTGGTGACAAATAAGATAATAGACTATTGTATTGTATGTACAATATAATGAAGATATTATTAATGAAGTAAATTTGTCATACTTATACACCTACTTACTTCAGTTGAAAAGTACCTAGGTAGGATCAAGGGCACGTTAAGCTTGACACTTAAGACTTAAATCCAACTCTATGCCGCTTACGATAAGAACAGTCCAAAGTACAAAGCGTCAACTTGACGTGCTCTTGACGGATAGTGCATTAAGAACTTATTATGTATGTTAAGTCTTCTCTCTTCCGAAAATTTGTTGTATCAACCACTGGCTGTCGTTAAATAAGTAAAAAAAAGTACAAAATTCTTAATGAATACAGGTATGAAAGAGGATGATATTTGTGAACTTCTGAAATTCGAACGCAAAATGCTAAGAGCCAGAATAGCAACTCTCAAGAACGATAAATTCATCCAAGTGAGATTAAAAATGGAAACAGGTACGTTAACACTTCGTTACAAATCACTGTCAGCACTTTATTCTACTTACACATTATACCGATCTGTTGAGCATCGGGGATAATGTAAACATGTCTAAATATTTAGTGTATCTTGTCCAAACGAACATCACGCGCAGAATCTATTGTGCAAATGCATAATTTACAACGAAGGTAAATAGCCTTAGATGATAACATTTTGCTGATCGAAAGTAGTTAGTAGTATGGCCAATGTCGGCGTACATAAAGAAGACACGATGACGAGGCCAGCCGTGTTATAGTAATGTCATTAAAATACAGGGTGAATCGGATGACCAGTCAAGGAAGTGATTACTTTCATTGATCATGAATGATCCATAAGCAAAAGAATATATATAAGAATACCATATATACCATATATGGTATTCTATATATATACCATATACAATACCACCTAAATCGGTAAAAACATTGGTTCTACATAATATAATAGCTATACCTAATAAGCCAAGCAACCACACCAAATTGTCTGGCCTTAAACTATGGAATTCCCTGTAATATGAGTACCATAGCATTGGAATTCACTCTGGGACACTTCCCAGAACATCCGGTTCAGAACCTATTTTATTTAAAAGTTCATTTCCCCAAATTGGTCCTATTGGGAATCGAACGCATGACCTCCTCATGCAACGTCAGTTTACAAATGTCCGATTGGTTTAAAACTTCAAAGATTTGTTTTCATAGTCACCCGTACCTAAGTAATATCAAAATATGTAAACATCGTTGTATATTTCTTTATATTATGACCACTTACCTTTCCGCAGGGCCAGACGGTAAAGCACAAAAAGTGAACTATTATTTCATAAACTACAAAACATTCGTAAATGTGGTAAAATACAAATTAGATCTCATGCGTAAACGGATGGAAACAGAGGAACGCGACGCTACAAGCCGTGCCAGCTTCAAGTGCCCTTCTTGCGGGAAAACATTCACAGACCTCGAGGTTGGTACAGACAGACAGCAATGGAAAATAATAGTCTATCGTCTGTAAACAAACATTTAACGATAGATTCCGTACGTTATTTTCCTGTCTTACTAACTAGGTACTCATTTCTAATCAGAACTTACTCTCTGTGTTGTACGTACTGAAGTACATTTTTTTATATTCTAGGCAGATCAGCTATACGATATGATGACCCAAGAATTTAGATGCACGTTTTGTAATCAAGTCGTAGAAGAAGATCAATCGGCGCTCCCCAAAAAAGATTCGAGATTACTATTAGCCAAGTTCAACGAGCAACTGGAACCTCTTTACATTCTCTTGCGGGAAGTAGAGGGCATCAAGTTGGCACCAGAGATTTTGGAGCCAGAACCCGTGGACATTAACACTATTAGAGGGTAAGATGAAATGTTGTAATACCCTGCTTTTAATTCTTCAATCCTAATAGAATCACGCCAATTGTAAGCCTTGTGGTCATTATTGTAGGTTTTTCCAGGAGCTCTTCGCGTACATATTTACAGTGTTAAATCCAATCCAAAAAACTTATCTCCTAAATATAATGGAAATCTGTTAAACAGTTGAACGTTTAGACATTACATAACATATTCTAGATAATAAGGATTAATACAAACTTTCACGTTTAAAATAAGTAAGAGACAGATGATTGGGCGTGGACATAGGTACCTATACTTTATTCGCGATAAGAATGATAAAAAATAACAATTTTCAATTGAGTTCTTAGGTTTTCGCGATAGCTACACATAGGAAATGAAACTATTTTTCTGGATATAAATGGCGTATATTTGTTTTTACAAACAAACAGTCAATCGTGACCATGCGACTTGTAAAGGTTGGTTTGTTTGAAAATGTAAAATAAATATACGCGATTTAAATCCGGATAAATAGTTTCATTTCCTAAATTTTCCATTGAACCACCAAAAAGGAAAATCTCACGAAGCCAGCTGAACTACTAGAAATAAAAGAGAAATTCGACTCATCAATCACACCAACGTCACGAACTCATACTACTCCTGACTCACACATCTAGTATTCTTAGTAATGAGATGAGTCATTGCAAACTGCGATTTATCAGCCATCATTCGTATATCTAAAATTGAATGCACTATTTCCTATAACCCATGTAAATCACAAATAGGTACTGATCTAGAACTTGTGCGTGTGTAGCTTAACGTCCAAGCAACTGCCAGCCCGTCCATCAGGAGAGCAATGGTCAGGAGAAGCCACAAGGAACCTAGGGCTGGCTGTGGAAGAGACTCGCGTTGATGTCACGATCGGGGAGGCGGACAACGCAGTCGACGCGTCAGCTCAGCGCAAGGAACGGCCCGTATGGATGGTCGAAAGTACTATCGTCACTAATGACCAGGTACGGATATTACGTCATTTTATTTATGGTCCCCTTGTGGAGAAGGGTGTCTCCGAAATGGCTAATTTTTAGAATTACAACAAAAATTTGCTTACTGTTCGGTATTCGGCCTGCGTTTGCTATTCGGGCGAATATTAAAAAAAAAGAAAAGAAGATTAACGGAAAAGTAACATAACTAACTTATTATTCTAAAAAATTAAAAAGGTAACAAATCAAATGAAAACGACCTACTTATTACGTAGTTTAACCCTGTGATTGAATGAACCGATTGTGATGATTCTTTTTTTTCTTGGAAAGAGCGCACTTTTGTTCCCATTTAATTTGAACAATATATTCACCTCTAAGGGTGACAAACTAGGGAACGAATCTGGTTTCGCGCTCTTTCCGTTAACCGATTCCAATAAACTTAGCAAATACATGTAATTCCGCGAAATTTTAACGTCTTGAAAATTAACCAAATAGTTATTATATGCAAACCAAAATAAAAAACCTTTGTACAAAATTATTTATCATTTGATAAGTTCCGAATTTCATAAGTACGTTAATCAGGCAGAATAGTTTGGCCGCATATTCTGCTATTCGGCCGCACTCCTGACCGGAAATTCGAATTCGTTACAACATTATTTAGGCGTGTTAATGGATACAATATAAAAGGAAGGAAGATCCTAGTTCGCACCGCAACAAGTCGATTTTATGCTTAGTAGATATTATTCACATTTCTAGAATGACAGCGTCCACGCGGCAGACGCAGCTCTGGAAAAGGCGGCTGGCAACGTCAGTGGAAAAATCACTGGAAAAGAAAAAGCCGACGACATTATGTCTGTCTTACTCGCTCATGAGAAGCAAAGTACAGGTAAGCTTTACAGCGTAAGACGTAAACTTTGTACGCAAGCCTCTTCTTCGTTTTTATTTTGTTATGCTTGATAATTGTCTACACAATCAATTCCTACTGAAAAAGATATAAATTAAGAAAGAAAAGAAAATTTTATCATAACGTACCATTCGCGTCGAACTTGATACTTTGCCGACTAACTGGTGTCATTAGTCCCTTTCACACAGTCATTCTATCGCATGTGATCAGGGGCGTACAGGGTTGCACGCGGGAAAGCCTGAACTGAACTGGTCGTGCGCGATCACTTGTTTGAATTTGTTTAGGCCAACGTTCTTTCGCGCGCGATTGATCATGTTCGTTTTATTACAACTACAGGTGGGCGTTTAAACAAAAAGCACTTAAAAAAGTTTACTTTTTAAAATAAGCCCTTTAGCACGCTTTTTATTCTAAGCGTAAGCGTCGGTCAGTTCCATACTCAACAATTTCATTTATAACAACGTGCCTAAGTTTCAAGTCCGACCACTTATGTTTCCTAAATAAATTAATTCGTCAATGTGAATAATAATTTTATAAATAAAAATAAAACTCTTGTTTTACAAATAAACTTACTTAACTTAAAACCTTTAGTGGTTTACTCTTGCTTTTCGCTATCAACATAACGTTGCAAGATTTTATTAACATGAAAGTCTATGCGCTTAAACGTTTTTCTAAACGACTTTTTGAAGCTTAAAACTAAAAAGTGTTTAAGTGAAAAGCGTCTAAAAGAGAACGCTTTTTAAATAAAGCTACAACGTTTAAACGTTTACAAAAATAAGCAGTTTTTCCCATCTCTAGTTACAACGGAAAGATCGTTCGGGTAAAGGCTAATCGCGCAGGATAGACCGCGTGAAACTGGCGCGTATTGGAATGCGCAATTGCGCGCGCGACTGTACGGCGCAATCGCGCGGAATTTCCCTTTTCCTTCCAACATCTTTATATGCGCGCCCAATCGCACACGATTGCTATATCACGCTCGATAAAGTGTCTGCGTAAAGTATTCGATTTTCGAACTCTTCGCTCATCTGTGCTCCGCATTCACAGTAGAAACGTCGGCTCAACTCACACTGGCGCAGAGTTGAAACGTCGCGACGCGTCATGTTTTTCGCCTATAGCATATTCATCTCTATTTTCCCATTACTAAGATACAAAGTTTTTGTTATACAAATATGGAGTCAAGCGTCGACGCTTGGTTGCAGTCGAGCGGCTTCGCGTTACTTGAGCGCAGTGAGGCGTCAAACGCCGACCACACTGTGATCCGGACGCACTAATGCGAAAGACGTCGCGGGTCGACACGCGTTGACGCGTGTCGCCAGGCGATGTAGTTGGGAAACTGCGCCTGTGTAAGTTGAGCCGAAGTCGTGATTCTTAGTTGTGTTTTTACTCTATTATAGCTTATTCGAAATGAAGAAAAAATCTTATTGGAATCTTACTGTCGTATTCAAATTTTGTGATGACGCTCTATATGCTTGCAAATTCTTAATCTCCATAATCAGGGATTCGTCAAAACACCGATAACCGTATTGAGCATGCAGAGCTCGCATCTCGCAGTACTGACTATACGAAAGTTAACATCGTGATGGGTTACCTTACGCAGAAACCAGTCAGTAGAAGAAGTGCTATTATTCAATTCATTTTCTTAAGTTTTAATAACGAAAATCTCGAAAGATTTTAGGTATTGGGAGCATTGGGAGCAAAATATTTTGTCTACACCATTTCAAAACTCATTTTGTTACGCATCTCTCCTGTCTGTTTTGCCTAATTGTCATAACAAGTTTTACCTAAACAATTTTTAAGAGCAACTAATTTCGATTTAACTCTGTATACAGGGTGTAATCGTTAAGTGTGCCTAGGCGATTATTCCGTAAATATAAGAGATATCAAAAACTTTCAATAACTGATATTGAAAGTACAATATCTGATGAGTAAAACGACATCAATAACTTTTTAATAATAAAGTAGAAATATCCAAAATATTAACGTTAAACGGCATACATTTGATATGACATTCGTAGAGAGGCTTTAGTTGACCTACTTTAAGAGGTAAGAACAAGTTTACAGATAACGAAACTGCTATAAATAAAGTAAAACTAAGTGATGTTTATTTTTAACCAGCTTCAAAAAAAGAGAGTACTTTTTTTGTATGTATGTTACGCGACAAAAGCGATTTTGACGATTCTTTTTTGTTGGAAAAAGGGTGCCTCAGTAGTACTGCCCTGCTTGTCATAAACAACGCATTTGTGTTTTGGTAATTTTCGAGATATTGGCACCTAGGTATTTTTTCGCTTGTCGCTGATTTTTCTTAACAATGAAACACAAACTAAATAAGATATTAAAATACCGTTTAGAGGGGCTTGTAGAGCTTAATTCACTAATTCCAGATATGTTAATAACTCAGTTTCGCTAAAACGACGATTACGTTGTATAAGATAAAGACGGTAAAGTAGTCCCATTTAAATTTTTTTTAAAATATTCCACCTCTAAGGTTTCGCGCACTTTCCGGTAACCGATTTCAATAAAACTTGGCGAATGATGTAATTCCACGAACTTTTGAGGTCGGTTTTTTAGTAAGTACTCTGTACTGATATTATGTACGTACTTACTTAAAAATAAAAATTGTTTTTATTCAATAAAAAGTTGTTTTATTACTTCGCTCTATCGAATCATACTAGCTTTAAAGAGCGACAATTCGACATTTGCAAATGGCAAAAAAAAAATCTTTAAATGTTTGCTTTTAACAGCTAGTAAGATTCGACAAAAATGTTAGATACAACAGGGAGAAGGACCGACACTATCATTACGCGGCATCAGCTCGCTTTTCACCGTCCGCACTCTATATCTGCAGTACTTTGTTTCTTCTAGGAACGGCCGCCTCGAATGCTCTAAAAGGAATCGAACCTGAAAGCTCGGACTCTAGCGACAACGAGACCAAAGATCCTTACAAGCTTAAAGATGAATTGGCTGCAGTCGGTAAGTGTTTTACATGTATATGAGCCCATATACTATGTTGTCCCTCCTATTCAATAAAATAATAAACACAAGGCTTATTTGAGACGACTATTCGTCTTGCTCAATTTCTAGTCACAGCCTAAAACATAGATAGTTGTAACATATTTAAAGTTCGCAAGTTTTCTGAATGGATAAATATGAGCTGGCCCGGTGTCACTTACAAATCTGTAATATCAAGAGATCAACCCAAACTAGTCAGTAAGCAAAATGGTTGAAGTTCCTAACATTAAATCCAGTATTCCATCCATAAATCCAGTATTACGACAAGTCCTTTACTGTTCAGGCTATTCGTTTGTGGAACGCTTTACCTTTGTCTATTCAACAAGCGAAATCATTGAATATATTCAAAAATATGGTTAAAGTACACTACCTTAATTTAGTGTGACCTGGACTGCTTAGGTATTTTTATGTTTTGAAATTAAGTTTTAGAAATTTTTATATTTATAAGTATGAGAATATATAGTAGTTTACGATATTCATATATATGTATTGGTTTTATTATTTATTTATAAATATATGTATATTTGTATTTATTTATCAATTTTTATCTGTTGATTTAGTAATTCTTCATACACCACCGTCTTTTTCCTATGAATTATATAATTACTTCCATCCAAAGGTTGTCTGGCAGAAATCGCTTAAAGCGATAAGACCGCCCATTGTACCACCGCTTATTTTTAATTTAATTGTATTGTATTTGTTTCCTTTTTTGGTGTACAATAAAGAATTTTTGTAATGTATTGTATTGTATTAAATGTTATTTCAATTGTAGCTGAAATGGAAAGTGAAGATTCAGAATCTGACGACAACGTGCCTGTTGTTTTGGTGAATGGAAAAACAGTGCCTCTAACGAACGTAAATGATGACGTCATAGCTCAAATGACACCATCCGAAAAGGAAACGTACATCCAAGTGTATCAGGAATATTACAGTCATATGTACGATTAACTTTTAATTTAGGTAGTAATACATAAACGTTAATTTAAGGAGTTCTGATAACAATAAATATTTTTTTGATCATATAACTATTTGTTTTTATTGCCAATAATTATATTTGCTAATTTAATTTGCTAAAGTTCACTTTTATTGCCAATAATATTCTATTTATTTAGGCTATGTTGAAGCCAATAAGTACGTACAAAAATAAAAACATAGGCAAAGAGGCAATACATTTAAAAATGAAATAATTAAAATTTTGCAGTCATTATGTATATTTTTAAATAAATAAATTAACAAAATAATTTCTATTTTCAATCGAATACAGTTAAATAACAATTACTTATGCTAAATTACATAACTACGTAGTGAACACAAAAAAAATATTATGAACAAAACCCTCTAATTGTGCCAACCTAAATTTTCGGGTCTACATGAAAATTCAAACTTTAAACAAATAACAAAATACTGAAACTGAACTATGTTCAGTCTTCTTTAAGAAATTAGTACTAAGAGGATATGGCATCAATTCAACATTTTGTTAGCTCTAAGAGTAACAATATTTTAATCTTGTACAGAAAACATAATTAAACTATAACATTAAAATAAAATTTCATTAACTTTGTTGCTTGCCCCATTTATCCCAATATTCGTCTGTCTGCATTTCCATTATTCGCGAAAGGCACCGATCAACCGCAAACAGTTCCTCTTCGCCCGTGAATATAGCAGCTTTGGCATCCTCCTTTAAACAAAATCAAATTCATTAATAAATAACGCACACACTCAACATAGCCCCGCACTAGTGAAACCCTGTGTCGCGGGTGCCATGGACACATACATAGACAACCACAAATTACACCCAAACTCACAAGAGAAATAATTGTAGGCCATACAGCTATTTGTCCCGACCCGGGAATCGAACCTGGGACCTCTGCGTGGCAGTCCGGCATGGTAACCGTTCGGCCACAGAGGCAGTTATTAATTTATTCAATAAAGATGTTCGTACTTCTAAAATATGCAACTCTTATTATTAAAACAAATTTTTATACACAGCGTGAATGTACTGCACATGGGTCACTAAAAGAATATCTATTTTTTTTTAACTAACGTCGACATATTAAAACGCGTCAACTTATTTTTTTTGTGTTCAAAAAAACACAAACACTTACAGAATTTTTCGTAATATTCAAATCATCCATTAGAACTCGGTGGGTGTCATCAACTTCTTCTGCTTCTCTTTTATTCACAAGATCTTTAGGTTCAACATCCGCTGATATTACTACCTGAAATCAAGAGGTAAAACGTAACTTCATCACGTCGTAATTTAACATCAACAAAAATTTAACTAACACGAAAGAAATCAATACTTTTATTGTAAGTAAATTAAATAAAATTTATTACATGCAAGATGGATTTCGCAATAAAAAATTTAATAATGAAACTGGTACATACCCTCACTTTGTTATCGTATAGAGTATCAATCATAGTGATGAAACGCCGCAACTGAGATCTGTGCCGTACTAATGACAGCTGGGGTAAATTTCTTACGAACACTGTGTGGAAAGTCTTCGATATCACTAGGTAATCACTAGCACCTAGAGGCTGAAAATATAGATTTCAAATAATAGCCTTCATTGATCACTTGTAGATCGATGATTCCCAAATATCGACCCCTAAAAGCATTGACTTCCTAAAAGTCTTATATCCGCGAAAAAAAAATAGGAGGTGTATGATGTTAATGGAGATATTAGAGTGGAACCCGTTTAAGCAGGTCGTGACTACTTCCAACCAAAATGATGACTTTCTATAATACTTAAAATAAATAAACACACATTAATACTTTTTTATACTGTACCTACCTAACATGTAAAACTGAGTTTCACCTAATACATTTCGCTGAATGAGGACCTGGTTACCTGTAATGCATGCATTTTTATGCCTACCTCAGGCACAAGTATCTCGCAAATAAGGTTTAATGTTAAAACTCATTAGACACTAAGCATTTAAACGTCTATTAACTGCCCAATATCAAGGGACCTTAACTCTAATTTAGGGAGGTGTAAAAAGATTTAGGAGTGTCAGGGTCCCATATTAGGGCGTCTCTAGCGCCCTGCAGCTGGGGCAGTATTATAACGCCTAGGGCAGTTAGGCAGCTCAGTTGGCGAACGCGGAGAGCAGTCGTATCGTTTCGTCCCTCTAGTTCGCCCAGCCATTTTGTTTTGCTATCGCCATGTCGTGCAGTGAAGAAAAAAAGTTTTGTTGTGTAACTTGAAATTTACAAAAAAAATCGATGAGAAACAACAAATACAAACTGCGATGGCGCCACGACAATAACACGTGCAATGCTCTCGACGATCACGTTCAGAATGAGTTGAGGCCTGGTTGGCAGAGTAGTGCAATAACCGGCTCCTATAGGGCCCTAGAAACCGGGTAGTGTAATAAGCGTTTTACAGAATTTACCTTATACACTGAGAGAAAATAAATGAATTTATTATTATTATTATTATTATTTTGGATACCTCGTTTAGACTCTCGCCTCTCCCATGGCCTAAAAGATTATTTTGAATTTTTAAATGGGAGAGGCGGTATTCCCCTGTAACAGCTAGTCATGAAAGAGACCCAGTCTTTTGAGGCCTTTTAAAAAACCTCGACTTCCAACGCCTCACGACTAGTCTAGTCTTTTAACCTTCAAGTCTTGAGTCATAAGACTAAAACCGAAGACTAATTCGAGTCGAAGTCTTTAAACCCTAGGAAGCTTAAAAGACTTATAGGACTAAAATGACTAAGAAGACTAAAACGACTGGCGCCTCATAGTCTCGGGAGTCGCGATTCATGAGCCGTATGGCGTGATCGTATTTGTACCCACAAGATGTTTATTTTTATTATAAGTAAATAAACTTGATTATTTACTACATACTACTTACGTCATTTTTGTTTATAACTTCGGGTTTAATAAGACATAAAATAAGTATAAGTCGCTTTGCAAACAACTCGAGTCGTTTAAGTCTTTCAAGTGGTTCAAGTCGTTTAAGTCTTTCTAGTGGTTCAAGTCGTTTAAGTCTTTTAGTAAAACGACTGAGTCTTATTAATAAAAACTCGAGCCCCCAGTCTTAATTTTAGAGTCGAGTCCTGTAAAATGGAGTCGAGTCGTTATAAAACGCCTTAAAAGACTGAGTCTCTTTCATCACTAGTAGTAGCACTGTCGATTGGAGAATATTATTATTATTTTTTAGTAGACGTAAATGACATATGAAGTCAACATTGCACAACAAACAATATATTCGGTTAGATAAATGTATAAACTTAACTAACTTAACTTAACTTATGTGTTTTTTATAAAGTTTCTTACTATATAGTTATTATCAAAGTGAGTAGCACTGTGTAAGCTGTCAAAAACAATCCAATTCGTAAATCCATATTAAAAAGGCATGGAGGCAAAACAAAAAAATTGGCATATAGTCTATGAGACAAATATCTTTATCAGAGGTTCCCACCTCCGATAAAGATAAATGTTTTAGGTGGACTTAACACGTGTTTGAATATTCCATACTAAACTCTAGCCAAATTCGATATAGTATAAAATTAAATGTCAACAAAAAAACATACGAGTCTTAGGAATTTCACCTCAGACTGTTTTACAGTTACCACAATTTCAATATTTACCCCCGAAATTCGATTAGACTATTTATAATACTGATTACTGATCTAGAAGTTACGTTAGTGATTAATTTTATTCAGTAGAAAAATTTGCAAAAATTCGATTCGAGTTGTAATTCAAGTTCAAAATTGGAAATTGAAATTAGTAAATTACTATAAAATAAAATCTAAAATTTTAAATTTTTCTTAAATTTTGTCTCGTTTCATCTACCATTACCTACTATGTAGCAGTAAATGTTAATAAAATTTTAAACTTAAATACTTTATTCATACAATATTCATAAATCATATGTATCAATAGGTACCTTGAAAGCTATACTTAAAATAATTGGCTTCATATTCTTTATATATCTAATTTGGCTAGAGTATAGTGTGGTACGTTTAATTGGTTTTTTGACACAAAAAGTTACTGAAATAGGTTACATGTACTACTTACTCTATCACATAATTCCTCAAAAGTACAGTCTAAAACTCTTCCACATGCTTTGGCAAATTTAACATTTCTGCCCATAATATTTATTACTCTAGGCCTGACTGTATCATTTTCCTTTGATATAAGAAACTTGAATAAATTGTCAACTACATTGTTCTCAGGTGTCAATTCGCTATTCCTAAAACATTTAAAAATTTTGAACCAACACAAATAGCAATAAAATAAAAAAATATAAATACTAATCAACGATGCTACTAAAATATCACAAACACCCACTCATCACAAGTTTTACAATGAAATCGTAAGGCATCGGCATGCATAGCCAAGTTGGGGCAGGAATGTGATCAGCAGATTTCAGAAACTCTGGTGCAATTATAGGGCAAAAAAAACTATATTGTTAAAATATTTAGTAACCCCAATGAAATGCGTTATAAATCTTTGAACAGCAATAGAAAGCTAATAAAATGTAATGAAATATCCATATAATATTATTATGTGTATGATAAAACATAGATGGCAATGAACAGAGTGTACTTACCTCAACTTCAAGACAGTAACGTCATAGATTAAATAATACCTCCGTTTGCAATCCCGGACTATATAATTACATAGTGGTATACGGGATTATTTGTAAAATACTAACTACTTCCCAGGACTATATTACTAAAAACATTTACAACTTTTGTTCCATGACTTTTAATAATTCATCAGATTTTGCATTCATACAAATATAAAAATATTTAAAAGATCGCTCTAAAGTTTAGAGTCTAAACAGTAATAAGTCTTTGCCCCCTGTCCCCCGTCCTACGTTTAGGACGGGTGGAGGGTCATCGGGCGTGACGCTATAGCTTACGCTTACTTACCAAATACACATCTAAAAAGTGTCAGATAGTGCAATCTAAAAGGTTAGTTTATTTTTAAGTTTTTTTTTACAAAAATTGTTGTTTATGATGTTAGTAATACAGTCCTGTGAGATTGTTGGTATATTAAAAATAACCCTGTACATTTTCAATATATATTTATTAATATAGATATTAAGCATTCTACAAACAGGGTGTAAAAAACCCTTAACCAAAACGAGAACTACGTATTCTTCACGTCGTTACTAGTATTTTCTTGTATGGGGCTATGTCTGGGAATTTGATAGATAAGGAGACATTGAAGGTCAAAATGAACTTTTTTTCGTGCTTTTTACGAAATCGAAATATCATTACTAAACTTTCTTCCAAACAAACATTATATTTTTTCTTAAATTTACAAGTAAACGAAGCGTTTGAAATGTTGCGAACGCACACGTGATGCTACCGCCGCTATGCAATTACGCACACAAATATCGGCTGTACCTGTACTGTATCACAGGCGGACGGACAGATTACACGCAAACGATCATTTGTGGCACCGAGCACATCCTGTATTAATAAACAGTAATTTTCAGGTTTTTTGTACTGAATTTTGGTGACAATTTTTATTGTTTAATTGCTCGTATACATAAGGCGCACTATAAGTTTCCGGAACTGGCCACTTATATAAGCAATATTTAAAAAGTAATTACAACATTTGAAAATGGAACTCTTTGGCTGTAGAATACAGTTTGTTTCATCTGACTATCACTTGTTTTTACATTGTGACGTCATTTTAGAAATTGGTTGTCCACATCACCATGGATGTAACTTTCGTAGTATGATTTTCTACGACTTTAAGTGTAATTTAACAGCTCAGTGGAGCTTCGCTCGGCTTCAAACTGCTTTTGGCGATGAAGCACCATGCAAGACGACTATTTATAGCTAGTTTGCAGAATTCAAACGCCGTCGTGTGAATCTCAGTGACGAATTTCGTGATGGTCGCCCGTCCACTGCTGTGAACAACAAAAACATCGATGCTGTGCGCCGTATGATCAAAACAGACATGTGACATACCTTGAGATTCGGGCATCTTTAGGCATAGGCATGAGTCAATTACAATCAACACTACACAAACATTTGGTTGATGTTCCTCGCTTCCGTAGCGAGGAACATCAACGCCTCCTGCCTATTCACTTCTCAGAAGAAAAAAAAAGTCGCAGAAAAGGAAAAAAGTTTACACAGCGGTTGCACGTCCTCCCACTAAAAGTGCACCTCACTAATATCCGGGGGATTAAAGTCCCCTCTCCACACACCATCAAGAATGGTTATTATTCCCATACCAGATGACCGGTCACGCTGAGACGCGTAAACTTGCGTTAACGCTAAGCCTTTCCCAGCTTGTCAGGGGCGCCACTAGGATCCCAGATGTTGAGTCTCATACGACTAATTACTTGAACCTTCTGTTGACAACTGATCCAGACTCGCTGCCTCCGACTTTTCGTTATATATCCATACCGATAGCCGACAGTCTCCAGCTACTTGGGATGGACCTGTCGTCCAATTTGCCCTTCGGCAGATACATTGAATCCATGACCAAAAATGCAGCAAAGAAGCTTGGCATCCTTTCCAGGGTGAGCCGTTACTTTACACCTGGGTAGTTGCTTCAACTGTACCAAGCACAAGTCCGGTCATGCTTGGAGTACTGCTGCCACCTTTGGGATGGTTCTGCTACATACCAACTGGCCATTTTGGATTCAATTGACAACCGTGACAAGAGGCTTATAGGTGACCCGGAATTATTGGAGGCGAAGCTGCAGAGCCTTGAAAATCGCCGCCTGCTTATCGGTATTTTATAGAATATATCACGGAGAGTGTGCGATTGAATTAAACGATTTAATTCCGCCTTCCCCTTTCCATCACCGGCGAACTAGGCGTAGGCTTGGGTGCCGCCCCTATATTGTGGATATTCCAAATATTCGCACGAAGCGTTATGCTTCCACATTTATATGGCGAACGGCTATGGAGTGGAATTCCCTGCCTGCAGACTTGTTCCCTGACCGTTATAACTTGGGCCTTTTCAAGGCGAGAGTGAATAGGCATTATTTAGGTGTGCATGCTCCATCGTCGACCTCATCGTCACTTTCCATCATGTGAGATGGAGGTCAAATGCGCACTTATATTTTATACATAAAAAAAAATTTGGGTGTGAAAAAGCTGTGCTCCCAGTGAATCCCACACAATTTGACTGAGGCTCAAAAAATAGATCGCGTCACTTGGTGCAATGCTATGCTTACCAGATTCAACGAAGGGGCGTCAAATTTGGTGTGGGACATAGTAACACGTGACAAAACATGGATTTATAGTTACGATCCCAAAACAAAGCAGCAATCGAGCGTATGGGTCTTTCGAGATGAGCCGAAACCAACCAAAGTGGCGCACGTGTAAAGTGCCTCTAAGCGGATGATTGCTTCTTTTTTAAATAAAACTGGACACGTGGCTACTGTTGCTTTGGAGAATCGTTGTACCGTGAATAGTGATTGATACACGACCATTTTTTGCCGGAAGTTATTGACAAACTCCGTAAAAATAATCGTAAACGCCGTATCATCTTGTACCACGATAATGCCAGTTCTCACACGGCCAGACAAACAAATGAATTTTTGATGGTGAACAATTTTGAGCTTATGAGCCATCCCGCGTACAGTCCCAACCTTTACTTATTCCCAACTTTTATTTATTTCCAAAAATTAAAAACCAGTTACGCGGTCAACGATTTTCATCACCTGAAGAGGCTGTCGAAGAGTATGACAAATATGTTTCAGAGATTGTCACATAGGAGTGGCATAAATGTTTTCAAAATTGGTTCATTCGTATGAAAAAGTGCATTAACGCTAACCGGGAATATTTTGAAAAACAATAAATTCATTTCTGACCATTTATAGTATTTTTTCTTATTCATTCCGGAAACTTATAGTGCGCCCCGCGTATATCATCGTGCAATATTAAAGAATATTTCAGGTTACCACACTCGAATATTAAATAATACTTCGTGATGATATTCTATAAATATTTAATTGAAAAGAAATTGTCACCAAAATTTAGTACAAAAACTTACCTGAAAATTACCCAAAAACGAAATAAGTTTATTTAACTAAGTACTTTATTTCGTCTTAATACGTAATACGGATTATCGCGTAACATACATACAAAAAAAAAAGAACATACAGTCGAATGGAGAACCTCCTCCATTTTTTAAGTCGGTTAAAAATTAAACAAAAGAACCGAGTGCGACGTATAGCATCGATCTATCGATCTCCGCAAGAAGGGCTCGCGGGGCAAGGGGGAAACGAGAAAAATAGACAAAAGAACTGAATGCGACGCATGGCATCGATCGATCGATCTCCGCAAGAAGGGCTCGCGGGGCAAGGGGGAGGCGATATTCAAAGCTTTCAGCATTCGTTTTGTTTTAATTTGAATAACGGCGTCAATAAATGTAGTTTGTTGTGGAAGTCATGTAAACTTACGTTTCGAGTTATGTAGCGTTTGTGTTTATTGTTTGAGTGTTGAGTGATAAGAACTTAGGAAGATATCCTAGCATCCATTTAGTGCTTGAACTTTGTGTGTGTTCTGGTTACCGCAAAATAAAACTTGGTTCTATTTTACGGTAGGGTCTCTGCTGCATTTCCATTTTACTAGATTGAACATCCTAGTGCAGTTTAGTTCTATTCTTGACGTGGTGTAAGTAAACCCACGTTTGAAAGTGCTAACAGTAGCCAAAGAAGACCACAAGGTCGCTTAGTAAGAACATACTACGATCAGAGATTAGACTGAACGCAGATTGAAAACACTCACACTCATGCACTCGTTCCACGCGTTACATTACGCGTCAAAAACAGCTGTTTTTTTAATACCTAAAAATAAAAGTAGTTTCCAGCAATTATTTTTGCTTCACGTGCCTCAGTTTGATGTACACGATGCGTGTAGTTCGGCTTCGGTAAGGTTCTTTTTACACCCTGTATAAATATATGGTTATTTTTAAAATGCTTACAACCTCGTAGGACACTAACATCATAGACAACACATTTTGTTCCATGACTTTTAACTTATTTACATGTAAGTATATAGATAATATATTACTATGATAGTGCATTTTAGTTTTATAATTTGTAATAAAAACACCACTATTTTGTTTATATTTGCCTGTTATTTTTAATCATTCAGGGAATTCAAAGGGAGGTATTATCCACTTTATGTTACTATTATATTACTTGAAGTTGAAGTAAATATACTCCTACTATTCTGATCTACAATGACAACAGATACCACATCACAGTAAAATAAGTAAAAGCAACTGAACTTACAAAAAATATTTGCTATATTTGTTACCCATTCCTCGTAACCTATAATCAATGCCAGAGTCTAACTGTATTACAGCACAGTGTGCCTTGAGCACTGGTATAAAAGGTAAAAAGTTAGACCGTTGTAATCCATTTTTGTACAAGTCATCAGGCTTTCGATTGCTAGTTGCTATAACAACGCATCCATTGTCAAATAGCTGAGTAAATAAACGTTTTAAAATCATGGCATCTCCAATGTCAGTTACCTGTAAATGTTAAGACAGGTTCACATGCATAAAAAAACAAACAAACTATGCACTATGACATTCTAAACCCTCACTGTGAACACTGAATTAAATCAACTGTGAAACATGGTGGTCCAATTGTTATTCTTTCATATTATTCTTTTATATTATGTAATGTAGTATAAATTCTAAAAATTTTCTAGTTCCTTTGAATTTTATGCTAAAATTGAATAATCAAAATTCACTTACTTGAAACTCATCAAAACAAATAAGCCATGACTCTTGTGTGATGTCAGCAGCCACTGGAGGTATAGGATCAAATGGCTTAGAGCCCTCATCTCGAAACGAGCTTGCACCTTTCCCGGACTTAATTTTCAACTCATGTATTCTAGCATGAATATTCAACATAAAAGAATTGAAATGGATTCTCAGTTTTTCTTTTATCTGAAATCAAATTTAATGCCAATGAATACCAGCCCCTACAGGCAACTTCATTCACTATTAGGTTAAAAGTACCCCTGAGCTGATCCTCAATCCATTACAATTTTATATGAAACTGGCCATTTCATGTATGTTGTGTATTTAGATTGATATTTACTTCTACAAATAATTTATGTTTGCATCTGATCGCAATTATGTTGCATCTTTTATTTTGCATTTCCAATAAGAAAAGTTTTTGAAATTTTTGTAAATTTTATTTCCAAAATGAAGTAATATGACATTTGCAAGGTTGCCATTTTCCATAAAATTTTAAATAGTCATTTCAACAGTTGTCAACTATTTATTTGTAACATTATTGGCTGTATGTCTCATGCATTCTGGGCAACAATTGGCAATTGGCAAATCCTTTCACCTCGATAATGAGCATTACAGTGTACACCATCAAAACTATAAGAACAGATGTCAACAGTGTTCTCAAACCACACGCAAAAAAGGTGTCTGGACATCTAGTTGTGGACAACTGCCTGTTACACCATTCCATACCATTGTTATCAATAGACTGTGAAAGGTGATAAAATTTTGCAGAAACCGATGAATGGTGAATGTTATGAAATTGTAATATTTCTTTTAAGTTTGATAGTTGGCCCTCTGGTATCGAAATCAATTCTTGAAGTAAAGACGCACAATCTGAGTTCAGTTATTCAATAATAACTTATGCAATGCATAAGCATAACAAATATTCAGCCAATACAATTATTATAGATTGCAAATGACTAGATTCATAGTAAGCAAACAGTACTCCAATGCATAGAACTGTTATTGCAGTCTGTTTTGGAAAACAAAATAGAATTAGTTCCTAGTAACTTACCGGAACAGTTTCGTAAAACAAATCCATAAGCATTGTTTTACCACCTCCCACACTACCATAGATGTAAAGGCCATTAGGTGCAATAATTTTTTGAGGTACACTTTTCTTAAAAAAGTTAAAGAGACTACTACTGCTCTGCACTTTTAACGCAGGTCTCTGAAATGCTACAACATCATCATAGACCTTTTGCAATTGCTGCACTATCTTTTCCTGATGATCATCTTTGATTAGAGTACCACCTGACACTTGCTGTGAATAAAAGCTCCAAGGACCTTCAGTGTCTGTTTTCTGTTGTGCCCAAGCTGAATATAATTTAATACACTGGTTACATTGCTTCCAATGATGTTTCACTAAAGACGAAACGTAAAAACACGAAGTATGTGCAATCATTTTGCTTGTTGTCATCTGAATGAGCTGTTCAAAGAAAATACTGCCATGTTATATAACTAGCAATGGTATTGATATCACCCTTATTATCATAAAAAATATTATATTAAATTTATTCGTCTTGTTTGCAACAACGAAATGAATAACCACTAGAGGTTATAAATTTGATAACGAAACTTGCGGAAGTTTTATGTTGAAACATCTGCTTATTCAGTTTGATTATTTGTAACGCTACCCTCAATCAATTCAATTTTAGGCTTTACGGCGAATAGTTTTGTGGCCAAGTAGTGTCGATAAAGTCAATTTTGTACTGTATTATTTTGGCGGTATAAAATCTTTTAAATGTAGGTATAATATGAAAATTTTCATTAAACACTGTAAACACAAACTAGGGTGATCCCCATGACACTTCATTTGACGTTAATCATAGGGATGAGGTAAAGTTAAAAGATATTTTAGTGTACTTTATTTTTAATGAAAAGGTTCTCTCTTATAGTTTTATTTTTTTCTGATGTATTCCACAGACTACTTAGTGAACTACGTTATGTATTCTGAACGACATATAGAGATGTGTGAAGTGTTTTGTAGGCATAACATGTTTATTGAGTGCTGGTGAAATTACAGGCACATGGGACTTGTCAACTTACGTCTCAGGGTGACGGGCGCAGTGGAAATCAGATCTTTGCATTTTAAAGCTCTGAGTGGCACTGTGACTGTAATGGTAGGCGTGTAGCTTACCATCAGGCGCACGACTTTATCGTACCGTCACTTGATGTTATACATATAAAAAAAGAGTAAGCTACTTTAATTGATATTTTATTAAATTTCTAAAAACATTTATCATACCATTAATTTAAAAGTTTAAAAAAAGTAACAACCCTGACATGTCAATACCATTGCCCATGACTATAAATTCATACTTTATAATTGAATACACGCACTATACTGCCACCATTTTTATTTATTCCAAGGTGGATAAAGTCTGAAGTTACTGCAAGAGAAAAGTAGATATTTTTTTATTTAATTTGTTTTAACATTATTTTCTCGGTTTTAAGTTTTTGTCACAACCAGCTAAGAGCAGCAGTACACATTTTTTTCATTAAATTATCGGATTTTTTTAACGATATACCCATTGACTTACAAATAAATGGACGACGGGTCTAATACAAAAACCACGAAAAAAATGTCCCAAGTCAACCTATTCGAAATTTAAATTGTAATGTCATCGCAGTATCGCGCTGTCAGTAGAACAAATGAAGACTAAAGCGGAGTGTCGCGCTCTGTATACGATTTTAGCGCCTTACAAGTGCGGACACTTTTTAGCGCGGACCCGACGTCCATATAATTGTAAGTCAATACCTCATGTCTATCAAATACAGCCTAATGAAGTAACCTTTGCACGGTGTTGTTGTAAAACATAATTAATTTTTGAAAATAAATATTTTCCCGCTTATTTCTCACAAATAAACATTGATTTGATCTTATTTTTACTTTAGTTTAATGTATTTCCTTAAATTAAAAGAAAATATATTCACTTAAAAGCGAGACTCATAAAATTATTTATGAATAATTTATATGTGCACGTTGTTACAAGGTTATATTTTGTAGAATTTTATGAACTGTCACCACAGCTTGGACTTTTTTTGATCCTAGTACGTGTCTCTGGGATCAGTCTTGCCAGGTCGAATCTGAAAAAGTCGGAAGATCTTACACAAAAAAACAGTGCAGTTTGTTTTTTTTTTGAAGACGGAATTAAATTACAGTTCATTGAGTATAAGTGTTGCATTTGCAAGGCGCTAGTGATTGCAGCCGATAAAAATATTCTATCGACTATCGACTGAATATTGGTCAAGCTCTGTCACGTTTAAGGAATATGACGAAGTAAAATGCAGCTCATTGCGTAAAAGTGTTGCCTGTTTGCAACCAGCTAGTGATTGCAATCGATAAAAATATTCTATTGACTATCGACTCAATATTGGTCACGCTTATGAAATAAATAGCCCAAAAATAGTCCTCGGCCGATCATTCGTCCAATTATTGAGCACAGGTTCATTTAAAATTCCAAAATTTGTAAATTCGTATGAATTGAAATACATACACTGTATTTAGAACGATGTCTATGAAAAATACAAAAAGGAGACGACCCTACATATTTAAAGTTTTTCATTTTAATTCAATTTAAATAATCAAATCTGCTTATTTTTGATAAAAAGCAAAAAATTAAATTTTATTCGGTACTAGTTTGTCAAAATTGTCAAGATAAGAACAAAGATGGCAATAACACAATTAGTAGTCATTATAACGTCACACGTCGTTTTTTTTTACCCCTAAAATCGGACATATCGCTGTTAACAAAACAATCAGAGAAAACGTTTCATTCTGAATGCATAAGTAAAACTCCCATGACTCTCACTACAATAGTTTTGGAGAAAACCTTGACCAAAATTGATATCCCGTATTAGGTATTTTTTGAAAATAAAATTCTAGTGACCAATCGTTGCAGCTAAATAATTCGTTAGATTGTTTTTTGAAAGGCCTTACAGTACAATTGTATCGTTAGACCGAAAGAGATAGCAGCCAAACAACCCAAATGTGCGAGTGAGACAGTTATAGCTGCAGATGTGTAGTGACGATAACCCAATAACGTGCGATTTTTGGAATTGTTCTTATTCGCATTGTGGTGTCATGCACTGGGGGTTACTTTATGTTTTCTCGGTCAAAAAATGTTTGTTATATACCTACAAGGCCTTTCAAAAAACAATCTAACGAATTACTTAGCTGCAACGATTTGGTCACTAGAATTTTATTTTCGAAAAGTAGCTAATACGGGACATAAACTTTGGTCAAGGTTTTCTCCAAAACTATTGTAGTGAGACTCATGGGAGGTTTACTCATGCTTTCGGAATGAAACGTTTTCTCTGATTCTTTTGTTAACAGGGGCATGTCCGATTTTAGGGGTAATAAAACGCTGTGCGTCGTAACATTCACAATTCAGTCATTTTTGGTAAAATTTTATGTTTTACAATCTATCGATTAAACTGTCAACAACAACTACATAACTATTTAAAATTTTATCTCTGAAAATGTCATTTTACTCCTTCGAAAAACACAGGCTGAAAGTGTAAAATTTATAAATTTTGCTTCTGTAAATATAATAAATATTTATTCTATATTTATACAATTTGTTTATTTACATCTCATAGTTCCTCACCTGATCCCTTTTTCACTCTTTCTCCAACTTCCAAATCCCGTTTCTTTCTATGATATTATCCGGAGAACAAAAAAGTATCATTATGTTTCCCCGATTTAAAATCAAAATATTAAATACACTGTAAGTGGCTGAAAAGTTAACCGCGAAAAGCCAAGAGAAATAAGAAAAAAAAGGATTTTTTTGTAGAATTTTAGAGGCTTTGGCATAAAGCAATTTTGTTCTTCATATTTCTTTTCTTCATTTTGGTTTCACGTTTCATTTATGTTTTCAATCTTCCGATGACATCAAAAGTGGAAACGATGTAACTGTAATTAACTTCATAAGTTTTTTCGTTTTTTAGTTGTGATGGTAGGAGGGAAATGTCTTCTTTATTGGTCTTTTTCGTAGGCCATCTACTATCAATAACCTTTGTAAATCTCTTTTCGGCCCACTATCACCTTAAAACGAATAAATCGCTACTTTCCTCACCGACACACGAACCAGATGTCCGGCTGGGCAGCGTTCCTTCGCTACCCCGGATATCCCCTGGAGCACAGGTTTTTACCTCGAGTCAGTCTGTACGTACCTACGTTCGCAATAAAATCTGTATCCAGCTTCTCAAGAACCTTAAGGCAATGAGTTTTTCTGTTTTGTGGTTTCTGGTTGACACGGAAGATACACAAATAGTGTACTGCTGTGTCTACCACTCACAGTGGCGATCAGGAAATTATTAAGGTGTTCCAACATCTGAATGAGATGGCTGATGAGGCTCAACATAGGTATCCAGTGGCGCAGCTATTCATTCTGACTTACATGCTCACCATCAAGAATAGTTGTTCCAGTATACGAGATGACCGGTCATGCTGCAAGAGCGACGCGTAAACTTGCGTAAACGCAAAGCCTTTCCCAGCTTGTCAGTAGCGCCACAACGAAAGACTACGCCCTTGCATTTATCTATAGCTTCGTTCCATATGTGAGAGGTATCACAAGAAGATCCTCCGTAAATCGCCCTCGTCAAAAGCTTGAGCTCCATTGGATACATCCGCAAAGTACAGTAATACTCCATATCCAAACGCAAGACCTCGACTACAGCATCAACACAGCTCGACGAGTCCCTTGAAGTAAAGCAAGCCTGATAGGGAAAGTAATGGCACACTCGTCTTATACCTGGGCCCAGATCGGTCTGTTTAATTTGTCCTTGAAAACAAACTGGAAATATGGTGCCTGGAGAATTGTCAAAATAACTGCGGCAGTAGTTTTCCTTAAAGTATGGAATATATTTGGCATCTTCGTACTCATCAGAAATGTCTGCTACAGGCCCAGATGCTTTTCTTATTACGGGGTTTGGTTTCGTACCTCCACTATCAGAATCCATAACGCCTTTTTTAGCACAAACTAACTATGAATTGAAAGAAAAATTAATTAAAACAAGATTTTAATACTAAGGAGAGAATCTCCCCTCGAGAGTTTCCCGCGTTTTTCAACATGAACATTTTTTTGTATAATTTTAACGGCTTTGGCGAAAATCAAAACAACCTAATACAGTAACATAGAACATCAGCGATATTGTGACATTATTATTTTCATTCTTGTTTTACGGTATCGGAATATATTTATCAATACAACTCTTCAATAATTTCTTCCTTTTTAAAAATCCTGCATTCAAAATACTTCTTCTCTATTATATTTCTTTATTAGGTATTTTTGTGAATATGTCTTCGTATTATATATATTATATATAATACGAAGTCCTCTGATGTTGTATACTTTGGATATGCTATTGCCATTGCGGATATATGAAATCATTCACAAATTCCCTCTATATATATGTTTAGAG